AATATAGTTGTTGAAGAAAAGAGAGGTATTAAGAATAGCCTAAACAGGGGGATCCCTGGGTGGCGCAGCAGTTTGGCGCCTGCCTTTGGCCCAGGGCGCGATCCTGGAGACCCAGGATCGAATCCCACGTCGGGCTCCCGGTGCATGGAGCCTGCTTCTCCCTCTGCCTGTGTCTCTGCCTCTCTCTCTCTCTCTCTCTGTGACTATCATAAATAAATAAATAAAAGAAAAGTTTAAGAATAGCCTAAACAGGGTGATAAGTGTGACCCTTGTTTTCAGTGCCTCGGGTGCAATAGAGAGTGGTGAGGACTTCGGGAACCCAAGAGTATAGACTCTACCTAAAGGAGGCAGCTGCCATTCAACTACAGACAAATGTCAGCTTGAATGCCCAGATCCTTTGAATTTAGGAGGCAAAGCAAATTAAAATATCTTTGTGCAATCTGCCAACTTTTAAATGTCAACTCATTTTAAACGTGTCGGTATACACCAGGACAATACACCAGATGTGGACCTTGACCTGGCAATTAGCAGCTTCTAAATTAAGAAAATTAGGGGCATCTGGGTGGCTGGGTTGAGTGGCCAACTCTTGATTTCAGCTGAGGTTATGATGCTGAGCGCAGTTTACTTGGCATTCTCTCTCTCAACCCCTCCCCCATACTCCTCCTCTCTCTCTCTAATAAATAAAATCTTTAATTAACCAGTATGTTAACTGGAAATAAAAAGAAAACAAAGAAACACAGGGAATCACACGGAACTAAATTTCAGAAAAACGATGTCACTCTATTCTGACCTGTGCTCTTTAGTAGTAGTTTGAAGCTAGGCATAAAGGTGAAAGATGATTTGCCTCGACTGAAATTTTTGTGCCTTAAAAAAAGGACTCCAAAAAATAAAAAAATAAAAAATAAAAAAAATAAAAAAAGGACTCCAGGGCAGCCCAGGTGGCTCAGTGGTTTAGCGCTGCCTTCAGCCCAAGGCGTGATCCTAGGGACCCGGATCAAGTCCCACATCGGGCTCCCTGCATGGGGCCTGCTTCTCCCTCTGCCTGTGTCTCTGCCTTTCTCTCTGTGTCTCTCATATGAATAAATAAATAAAATCTTTAAAAAGGTAGGGGGGACTCCAAATCCCGTCTTTCGCAGTTATTTGGTTGCTCATCAACTCCACCCCCAAGTGGCCTCCTACCACCAAGGCTAAAATGTTACTTTCTTTGAACACTGCAGTTTCAGTGTCTTAGCAAACCTTTATTTATTTTTTTTTATTTTTATTTATTTATGATAGTGACAGAGAGAGAGAGAGAGAGGGGCAGAGACATAGGCGGAGGGAGAAGCAGGCTCCATGCACCGGGAACCCGATATGGGATTCAATCCTGGGTCTCCAGGATCGCGCCCTGAGCCAAAGGCAGGCGCCAAACTGCTGCGCCACCCAGGGATCCCCTTAGCAAACCTTTAGTGAGGTTTGTTTGGTCACATCGTTGGTGGTGAATAAATAGCATTTGCCCTGCATCCAACCACTTCTCCAAAGCCAGTGTTGTTGGGGTTATGTTTGCTCCTGCCCAGCTGGAGCAGTTGATCTGAAAAATCAAATTGAGGAACTATTTTCTTAGATAACATAAAAGTAACTACAAAATGTTTCATCCTAGCATGTGTATATGAGAGTGACTCACCCCTGAGAGTTAATTGCGGTTAATTATTACCAGCCTGACTTGTCAAGGCAACAACACATCTGGTATAACTTGCTTATTCTCAGACAGGGGAGTTGCTTCTGAAGCTCACCATCTTGAAAACATGGTGTGTACCTTTCAACATATGATTATTTGAAATGGGAGGGGACTGTGGAATGCTTGAGTGGGAATTAAGCTCTGGATTAAGCCCTGGCAAGATGAAATCACACACTGAGAAGAAGTCCTCGCCTCCTCCTCCCCACAAGACGAATGGAGGCATCAGCAGTTAAGAATGGTGATTACCTTTTGCTCCTCTATTTAATCCCTTCTTATTGATATGCCAACCCTTTGCCAACTGCCAAGGAGGCTGGATTTCTTAATTTTGTTTTAGTTAAATTGCTCAGGCCTGGTGTGTTTCTAGCACTGCAGGGGAGATGAGAACAAAAGCACCAACCCACAGAAATCCAGCGCCTTCTGTCCAGGGATGGGGTGTGCCCTCTCAGGCTGCACTAAATGGTAGATGTCTACCCTTTATCTACTTCTATGGACTCCATCCCTCCTTCCTGAGATGCCCTAGGAGAATTCATTTCAGCTCACCCCAACCTTTCTCATAATTCTGCATAGTAATGCTTCTTGTTGGGGAACACACACCGAACTATGCACAGGATATGTAGGATGCAATTTGGCCTGAAGTCATCTATACATCAAAGATACCAACTTTTGGGGACACTTGGGTGGCTCAGCAGTTGAGCATCTGCCTTCAGCTCAGGGGTGATCCCGGGGTCGAGGAATCAAGTCCCGCATCGGGCTCCCTGCGAGGAACCTGCTTCACCTTCTATGTCTCTGCCTTTCTGTGTGTGTCTCTCATGAATAAATAAAAAATAAAAGGGACGCCTGGATGGCTCAGTAGTTGAGCGCCTGCTTTGGCTCGGGGCATGATCCTGGATTCCCAGGATCGAGTCCCACATGGGGCTCCCTGCAAGGAGCCTGCCTCTCCCTCTGCCTGTGTCCCTGCCTCTCTCTCTCATGAATAAATCAAAAAAATCTTAAAAAAATAATAAAATCTTTTTAAAAAGATACCAACTATTTGAGCCAGGCTTTACATTACGGTATCATATTTAATCCTCACATGGTCTCCATGTTAAGAACAAGAAAGCAGGGGATCCCTGGGTGGCGCAGCGGTTTGGCGCCTGCCTTTGGCCCAGGGCGCGATCCTGGAGACCCGGGATCGAATCCCACGTCGGGCTCCCAGTGCATGGAGCCTGCTTCTCCCTCTGCTTCTCTCTCTCTCTCTCTCTCTCTCTCTCTCTCTCTCTCTCTCTCTCTCTCTATCATAAAAAAAAAAGAACAAGAAAGCAGGTTTGATGATGTAAAGAGATTTGTTGCCATTAAATCAAGATAACACAGTTGGTGGACACAATCGGGATTCAAACCCATGGCTGCCTCGAATAAATGACTTCAAATACCAGCATCCCTTGCAAAGCCCCATTGCGCAAACGCACACTCTTCCCAAGAGCCCGGCGCTTGGGCTTTTTGGCCCCCACTCTCAATCCTAGCGGTTGGATGGAAACCCAATCAGAAGCCGCCTGTCCCCGCTCCCTGACCAACGGGAAGGCTGTTGCTAGCGCTCCGGGTATATTTTTAGCTCTCCAGTGCTCTGGGACCCGGTGGGTCGGCCGGCTCTCACTGCTCGCGTGGAACACGCTAAGGGACAACGAGGGAGTAGTGGGAAGAGATGGGGGGGGGTGGAGGGGGAGGAAAAATGGGAGGAGTGGAGTGGGGCAAGCGGGGCGCGGGGGGGGGCGCATATGTGACGCTCTGCCACCGGCTGACGCACGAGGCAAGTAGTCCCTGGAGGTGCCCCAGGGGCTGAAGCGTTCAGCGTGTGGGGGATGGGGGACTTTGGGATCCAGCTCCCTCCCGCCTCCCTGTCCCCTTGGAGTTTGCCCTCCAGTCCGGGGTTTTTCTGCTGCAGTCAAGGAAAGCGCTTCAAAACCCCCACGCTACCGTTGCTCTCTGCCCTTGCCAGGAAAAAAAAAAAAAAAGTGATCAAGGAATAAACAAATGCAAACTGTTCGTAGCTGGAAACTTTCGGATTTCGCCACCCCACGTGGGTTCGGCGACTGCCGATGGCCTGGAACCGTCTGGAATGGGAATAAAGGTCGGGGGTTGGGGAGCGATCTGGAGAATGGACTACTGGACGGAACACTTAACGGCAAGCTGCCGGGGGTCCGGCAGCCCGGTCCGCCTGTGACCTCACCTGGGCACAGGCCTCCCTACCCGCCTCCCCGCGCCCCGCAGTCACAAAGCGGCCGAGCGCGCGGGCCTGGGGCGCCCCGTCCAGGGCCGGCGAGCCTCGGGCTGCAGCCCCACGGACCGTCGGGTGCGTGAGCCCTGCGCCCCTGGCACGGGCAGGCGCCACGACCGCCGGCGGGGGGGCTCTCCCTAGAAGCAATGTCACTCTGTCTAGTGTCCCGTACGGGGGTCGCCCGCGGGGAGAGCACACGGTTGGACCAGAGAAGGGCTGAGCCCCGCCCGGGGCGGCCCGGGGACGCGCCTGCGCAGAGCCGGCGCTGGCCTCTCGGGCCGCCAGGTAATGGGGGGCCAGAGGCGGCACCTGGGAGGACTTGGTGGCGCTGGGCTCCTCCCGGCCGGCCAGCCGCTTGTCGCCTCCTCTTCCTCCCGCCCAGCGTTCCTGGGCCCCGGTTTCCCCGGCGGAGGCAGGGCGCCCTCGGGAGACCCAACCCGAGTTAATAAAGGAGCGAAACGTTTCCAAAGCTCGCGCTGCCCCCCAACTCCCCCCTCCTGCCAGGGGCGGTGCCGGGGGGTGCGAGCCGTGGGGGTGGTCGGACAGCCCGACGCCCAGACCCGGAGGGACTCGCCAGGGTGGCCTGACGGACCGGGCCGGGCGACCGGACGAACAGTCGGCCCTGGGGCAGGTGCAGGGCCAGGGCGCGGGCGGGGGGGGGGGGGGGCTGCCTCCCCGCGACGTCCGTGCGTCCCCACGTCTAAGGTGAACCACCCGGTTCCAGCCCGGGCCCCTGCGCGCCCGGAGCTCGCTGTCTACCTGGGGAGACCCTGTGCCCGATGAGCACGCTTTCGGAGTGGGGGGCCTGAAGGAAATCTAGGTGGCACGGCGCTGCGATGCGGGGAGCAGGCAGCACTAGACCGTCTAAAGGCGGCTTCGCCGGCGTGTGAGCCGGGATGGGGCGAGCAGAGGCCGGCCACGGGACGGCGGGGCACCCCTGGGCCCGCCCGGAGTCGCTGGCCGCGCGGCCCGAGGGGTTAAGCCGCGGGGCGGGCTGGGAAGTAGTCCCGGCCCAGCGCCCGGCCCCGCCCCTGCAGGGCGGAGGGACGCATCACGCAGGGGTGGGGAAGCCGGATCCGTGCGCAGGGTTGCTAAGGGTGAAACTTTTCATTGACTTTGCTCACTTCGGGCCCGGGCGCGGGAAGGTGCGGGTTGTCGCCGGAGACAAGCGAGTGGCTCGGGCGACGCGGGGCCCGAAGGGCAGGACCGCCCGCTGGCCAGAGCCCGGCCCGTCCTCCGCCCCGCGACACGAGCCGCCCTCCGGTCAGACATCCCCGCGCCGTCGCCGCCGGCCGGCCCGCCCGCCTTCCATCCCCCCTCCGCCGAGCCTGACCTCTAAAAAGCTGTAAGAATTATTATTGAGAGTCCGAGCCCCAAACTCCCTCACTTGCCACCCCCCCCCTCCACCAACCCTCAACGAAGAAAAGAACCCATCAGCCTCCGGCCCGGCGGCGCCCAGGAAGGAAGGAACAGCGACCTCCGCCCCGCGCCCGGGACCACCCTGGAGGGAGAAGTCGCGCTGCGGCCGGCAGACCGCCCCGCCACCGCGGAGACCCGAGTGAGTGAGTGGGGGGCGTGCGGGCGGGGGGCCCTGAGACGCCTTCCCCCACCCCCGTCCCGCTCCTGCTCTCCGCTTTGCTGGAAGCAGCGCGCTGCTGTCGTGCACCCCCCTCGCAGGACTGGCCAACATTTCCCTTTCCCCTTCCACCTCCCCTGTGGACACCCCCCCCCTTTCCCCGGTGCCCCGCTCCTCTCCGTGTTCTGAGTGTGGCCTCCTCCTGGGTGGGGTGCATTTCCTCCCCTCTCCGCCTCCCTCAGTTCTTCATAACGTAGAGACTCGCTAGATTTTTCCTTGTCCCCCCGCCCCCCCCCCAAAAAAAAGCCCATAACTTCCACGCCATTAAATAAATCAGAGGAAGAAGTAAGGGGATCCAGGTCTTGTTATTCTGCTGCTTTTCCCGTGTGCGGGGAAGGGGGTGGTAATAATAGGGTGTATTTCTGGCCCCGTGGAGCTGAGGGATAGAAGGTAGACATCCCCTTTTGGACCGGTCAGTGGTGACTGTCCTCTGGCCCCTCAACCAGAATTTACCATTTTGGCTTGAGCTCTTTATTCTCTGTAGTGTTTTAAGGGAAAACCGTGCTGGGGGTGGTGGTGGGGGGAGTACCTTTACAGCAACACCAGTGAGTGGACTCGGGTTGGTACAGAGTGAGATGCCTGGGAGGAAGAGCCCTACTACTGAGCTGGTTCACCTCCTGCCCAGAGGATGGACTGTGCCCTTGACCAGAGACGGAGGGGAGGAGGGGCAGCTGGCAGGCCTTCTCCCACCCCGCAGAGGAACCAGAACCCTACACAGCAGGCTTCAGCCTGGGCCAGCGGAGGGGGTCTCGGGTGCCTGCTCCGTGTCTAACCTTTCTCTTTCTCCTTCCTATACACCCTACCCTGGGACTGAGTCCCTCATCTTTGATTTAACAGCGGAAAAACGCTCATTGCTTTCTTGGGCGCCTGCCCCCACCCCCTCTTAAGCAGTGGGGGAAAGAAGCTTGTGTGGGAGGAAGGATTAGGGAGGTTTAACACCGTGTAGGGGAGCTTTGCCGAGGATCTGGTAAGTCTGGTCATAGAGCAGGCCTTGCAATGGGAGGAGACTCACAAACAATTTCAAGTATTAGAATATGTTGTTCGGGTGTCAGATGTACGGTTTTCCTTCCCTGCCGGGAACCTTTTCTCATTCCCCTAGCTGGGTCTAGTTACTCGACTTGGATTAGAAGAGGGGTGAGGCTTGGGCCCTGCTGGCTTTGGGCCTTCTGATTTTCGGCCCGGCCCCTCCCCGCAGCTTAACTGGGAATTTCTTTGGCTGAGAGGACGGGAGAACTGGGTTTCGTTCCTGCCTTTTCTGGCTGTTGGGGGTGCTGGACCGGAGCCCGCTGGGCATTAAGTGAAAAGGCTTTTTTCTTTTTTCCCTCTTTGAATTCACCCGTCCCTACAGCAACTCCAGACGGAGACCACTCAGCCCAAGGAATACAGATTAAGCGGCGGCGGGGGGGGGGGGGGGGATGTGTGACCTTTATCTGTCCCACCCCACCGCGTTCACCCAGAAAAAACTCATTAGAAGGAAATCCTTAATTGAACAGTCAAGGGAGGCCGTGAAGTGGAAGGTGGGGTGGGGGGCGAAGTTCAGCCTTTCTTGAGACCAAGACGTGAAACCCGTGGGGGGTGGTACGATACGGGGTGTAGGCCTTATGGGTAAATTTATATAAAATGTATTAGGCGGTGGGCGGGGGGGGGGGGCGTCCACCACAGCGCGCATGTGCATCGGAAACTTTTCCTCCGTTCTTCGGACCTCGGCCAGCTCCCCTTACGGGGCATGCGCGATTCGCTGGCTAAACCTTCGCAAAGCACTCAGGGAAGGGTAGTGTGCAGAGAAAGTAGGTCACTTGCTCCAACCTAACTGTAAGGTGTCTGAGGACTACAATTCCCAGAGTGCAGAGCGCGCCTTCGCTGCCTGCCTACGTTGGAGTTCAGTGAAGTCTTCCTGGCTTTACAGGAATCGAGTGCCCCAGAAAGGGCCCTATTAGTCGGAAGAGTTGGGCTTGCACAGTCCATGTTTGAGGCAGATGGTGGAGACTCTGGGCGGGGTGTTGCGGTGCATCGGCACAAGTCTGGGAAGCCCTTCAACCATACCTGCGGGCCTGGGTGGCTGCCTCGGATTGGCGTGGTGGGGCCGGGTGGTCTCACTGAGCCTGGGTCTCACTCCCTGGATCCAGATTGTGGCACCTGCTGGCCTTGTCAGAATTGAGGACCCCTCCTCCCCGACTCCTCCTTCCAGACTCACTGAATCTGATAGTGCTTGGTCGTAGGACCATTTGGATGTTAAGGCTTGGGGTGCCTGGATATTGTTACAGATACTTGTAGTTTGGAGATCCGAGAAGTTCCCTCACCATCATCCCTCCTTTTTCCCCTTTAAAACATAGCTGCTTTTCTTAAGAGCCTTCCTTCTCAGTTTAGTCATAAGTTCTTTCTGGAAACCCCATTACCATATCGTTGACTACAGCAGCCACCTTTCTTACCCCATTTTTGTCCTTCTCTTAAACACTCTTTAAAACAGTAGTCAGGGGAGGCCTGGGTGGCTCAGCGGTTGAGCGTCTGCCTTTGGCTCAGTGCGTGATCCCGGGGTCCGGCGATCGTGTCCAGCATCGGGCTCCCTGTGAGGAGCCTGCTTCTCCCTCTGCCGATGTCTCTGTGTCTGTCATGAATAAATAAATAAAATATGTTAAAAAATAAAACCCACCGCAAGTCAGCACAGGGGATCTGAATCCCACATTAATTTTGCTGTTGGAAATAAACAAGCGAAGGAGTATTCAATTCTGAAAGAAATTGGACAATTTACTCTCACATTTCCAACTTTTTAATATGTCGACAAAAGGTAGATGTTGCTATTGTTAAATACTTAGCTTTGTTTGTTTGGTGTTCAAGGGGGTTAGTTTTGTTTTTACTTTTTTGCCACCTTTCTGGCTTTTTGCACCTGAGTCAGGGTTGGAGAAGAACTCAGAGTCCTCTCTTCCCTCTTTAACTCAAATCTACTTGTTCCTTGTATTGAAGAGTAGTTACTACTAAGCTTTCTAATCTTACCAAATACTATGAATATTTTATGTATAAGCCTAGAATTTGTCCATAGCCTTAAAAAAAAAAATGAACAGACTCATCTGACTCTCCTCTCTTTAGTTCAAGACAAGACAGCACCAGTGCTTTAATCCTCTGTTCCATAAGCTTCTTGAAGTCAAAATTAGAGCCTGAGCTGATAGAGCAGAAAATCTCATTCTGGTTGTCCAGCATTTTTGAAAGGTTCCACCCCACAGCCATCTGGCCCAGCCTGTTCTCCAATTAAAGAGGCAAAGATGGCATTATATACTTCCTTATTTGTGTGGCAGCATCATTGAGGTATAAATTGGTGTGCAGCTTTAGTTGCTTATGCTGCAGAAAATGGTTAGCTAGGCAGGGCTGATGACAGTGGTTCTATTGTATTTTGGGGTAGGAGGCTTATTTCCCAATGACTTTGGCCTGCATTTAAAATGCTCCCATTTTGAAAAGATAAAAAGGAGAGAGGGAAACAAGCCATAAGAGACTATTAACGGGGGAAAAAAAAAGAGAGACTCTTAACGATAGAGAACGAACTGAGGGTTGATGGAGGGAGGTGGGTAGGGCATGGCTAGATGGGTGATGGAGATGAAGGAGGGCACTTGTGATGAGCACTGGGTGTTGTATGTAAGTGATGAATCACTGAATTCCACTCTGAAACCAATATTACATTGTATGTTAACTAAGTAAAATGTAAATTAAAAAATTGAGGGGCAGCCCCCGTGGCGCAGTGGTTTAGCACCACCTGCAGCCTGAGGTGTGATCCTGGAGACCCAGGATCGAGTCCCACGTTGGGCTCCCTGCATAGAGCCTGCTTCTCCCTCTACCTGTGTCTCTGCCTCTCTCTCACTCTGTGTCTCTATGAATAAATAAATAAAATCTGTTAAAAAAATGTTTAAAAAAAATAAAAAATTGATAAATAAAAAAAATGCTCCCATTTTGAAGCTAAACTGTTGAGGGGAGGTTAACTTGGAAGTCGCATAAGCAGCAAAGTTTGAGGAGGCCTAGAAAGGTGTAGGAGCCCCTTGGTCTGATTCTTATACCAAGAGGCCGTGTGGTGCTTTGGGGAAGTGTCATGTCTTTATTTTTTAATTAATTAACTTTACATTTTTTATTTTATTTTTTACTTATTCATGAGAGATGCACGGAGAGAGGACGAGACATAAGCAGAGGGAAGAGAAGCAGGCTCCATGCAGGGAGCCCGATGTGGGACTCTATGCTGGGATTCCCGGGATCACACCCTGAGCCAAAGGCAAACACTCAACTGCTGGAGCCACCCAGGCGTCCCTCATGTCATATTTAAGTTTATTTTACTTTTCAAAAACACTTTGAAAACATTGTCTTTAACTCCAGGCCCATCCTTGGGAACCAGTGCCAACTTTCTTTACAACTTTTTAATCTCCGTGTTGGACAGCTCTGGTGGACTGTCATGGCCCTTATAGACTTCCATTCTTGGGGAAGGCCTTCAGCCCTAGTAGCTAGTCTTGCATCTAATGATGAGTCCAATCCTTATAAACAGAAAGCCCCCTATCTTTACCTTCCCCCCCTTCTTTAAACCTTGAATTGACCTGTGCTCCCAGCACCTCTTGACCCCCCCATGTGACCCTCTGCTCAGACCTGAAATGAGGGTGGGACTGGACCTAGCCAGTGTCCTATGATGCTCCATATTGACCCGATTCTTCTTTTCTGATAATCACCTCAGAGAGGTGAGGATCCAGTCCTAAAAATACCCCTATAAGCCATGGCCCCAGTCCTGAGAATGATAAGGAAATGAGTTGAGGCAAGTGTCTAGAAAACTCAAGATCCCCAAGCCTAGAATTAACACCTACATATTCTCTGCTGGACCCAGAAAGGATTTTAATCAAAACCCAGCTCTAGATCTATAGCAGGGCAGAAGATGCCCCTGATGGACCATGGATTAGTCTTGTCTCTGCTGAACTCAGCAGCACATTTCCATCCAGAGGCCTGGCTGGTACCTGTTCTGGCCCTGCCAACCCGTGAAGAGGGTCCTTTTTCAGTCTTCCTACAGCATGACCCTGGAGCTGCCCTTTTGGAAAAAGTGAGGAGAATAGGATCACTGGCTCTCAGGACTTTACTGATCATCTTCCTGAGACATGAGTCTGGCCCAGACCTCAGGAGTAAACCTTTTTGACCTCTGCGGGAGCTGGCTGTGAGAGAATCCCAAAATAACAATCTGAGTGTTTATCTTGGGCTGTCTCCTCTCCAGGGATCTCCAAACACTTGATAAATCTGATCTGGTGCCAAGGACAGGTGGTCAGACAGTCCCCAGGAGACTGATGATGGGTCCCCAGCTGGAGGCTGCAGGGTGATGGAAAATTTCGTCTCTTTGCCACCCTCATCACCTACACTCTAGCCAAAAGCTAGAGTCCCTCAGGCCACACTCGTGCTGCTCTTAAGGATTTTTTGGCATCTGGGGCCTTGTCTCCGTTCATTTCCTCTGCTTCCCTGAGACAGCCCCTGGTCAGCGGTCCGCTGTTGGCCCACGCCTCAGGTTGTGACAGGTCTTGACTTCTTGGGGATCATTTTCTTGTCTCTATTCTTGGAGGCGTGCTGGATGGAGGTGCTCCCTTTGGTTACAGTGTGGTGGCGTTGTATCAGTTCTGCAAACCCAGGGTGAGGCAGAAAGCATGTACACCCAGGGAGCCCAGGATGACAAATTAGATGTGACTGCAGTCCAAGCCCCCAGTAAAAAGTTGGCGGTGCTGCTTCCTGTTCAGTAATCTGTATCCCTTTCCATTTAAGGAAAAAAAACTAAGGATTTTAAACTTATATCTCAGCCTGTGACGGTTTGGGAGCACGACTTCACCAAGATGTTACGAAGAGAAGTTAGCAAGAGCCTTCCCTTCTCCAGCTGAATTAGGGGCTTGATTTCTTTTTTTTTTTTATAGCAGTCATATAGTGACTTGGATTCTCAAAATAGTGGAAACCACAGCACTCCTGTTTCTTTAGAATTACTTGAAAAACAATAGCTCATTTTATCAAGTGCCTTCTAAATAGCAGGTTCAGTGTGAAACAGTTTACATCCTTGAGCTAACTTACTTTCCATGATAGCCTTATGTTCCTGATGAAACTAAGGTGCAGAAATAAGTGGCTGGCCCTCAGTCACACAATTAAGCTGGTCCCCAGTGGAGCAGAAAAGGGGCCTTGAGTCTATGTGATCTTTTTTTTTTTAAGTATTTATTTATTCATGAGAGACAGAGAGAGGGGCAGAGACACAGGCAGAGGGAGAAGCAGGTTCCGTGCAGGGAGCCCAACATGTGGGACTTGATCCCGGGACTCCAGGATCACGGCCTGGACCGAAGGCGGCGCTAAACCACTGAGCCACCCAGGCTGCCCAAGTCTGTGTGATCTAAAGTTGATGCTTCTCTGTCCTTTGCCATTGATCCCCTGCCCCCCACCCCCCCACCCCCACTTTCTGCATATCTGCTCATGATACTCTTTGTTCTCCTTTCTCAGAGCTGTCTGGAGCCCGAGGCTGCCTACCATACATCACCTGCCACTGCCTGTGGCCTGTACACGTGCCCTGAGCTGATTGTCCGCCCAGGAAAGGACCATGCAGCTAGAGATCAAAGTGGCCCTGAACTTTATCATCTCCTACTTGTACAACAAGTTGCCCAGGCGCCGGGCAGACCTGTTTGGGGAGGAGCTTGAGCGGCTCTTGAAAAAGAAATATGAAGGCCACTGGTACCCGGACAGGCCACTGAAGGGCTCCGGCTTCCGCTGTGTGCACATCGGGGAGATCGTGGACCCAGTGGTGGAGCTGGCCGCCAAGCGCAGTGGCCTGGCCGTGGAGGATGTGCGGGCCAACGTGCCCGAGGAGCTGAGCGTCTGGATTGATCCTTTCGAAGTGTCCTACCAGATCGGTGAGAAGGGGGCAGTGAAAGTGCTGTACCTGGATGACAGCGAGGGCTGTGTTGCCCCGGAGCTGGACAAGGAGTTCAAGAGCAGTTTCAACCCCGATGCCCAGGTCTTCGTGCCCATCGGCAGCCAGGACAGCTCCCTGTCCAACTCCCCGTCGCCGTCCTTTGGCCAGTCGCCCAGCCCCACCTTCATCCCCCGCTCCGCCCAGCCCATCACCTTCACCACCGCCTCCTTTGCTGCCACCAAGTTTGGCTCCACCAAGATGAAGAAGGGGGGTGGGGCAGCAAGTAGCGGGGCAGTGGCTGGCGGGGGAGCCGGGGCCCCGCAGCCTCCCCAGCAGCAGCCCCGCCTGGCCCGCTCCCCCACCAACAACCTGCTGAAGCACAAGAGCCTCTCTCTGTCTCTGCACTCGCTGAACTTCATCGCGGCCAACCCAGCCCCTCAGTCTCAGCTCTCACCCAATGCCAAGGAGTTCGTGTACAACGGTGGGGGCTCTCCCAGCCTCTTCTTTGACGGCGCTGATGGCGGGGGCAGCGGGGCTGGCCCGTGCAACAGCAGCAGCTTCGACGTGGCCCAGGTCTTTGGAGGCGGCGCCAACAGCCTCTTCCTGGAGAAGACGCCCTTCGTGGAAGGCCTCAGCTACAACCTGAACACCATGCAGTATCCCAGCCAGCCCTTCCAGCCTGTTGTGCTGGCCAACTGACCGCCCACCTGCCACCGGGCCAGGAGCGCCCAATACCACAGAAAAGAGAAAGGAAAAGAAAGGCCAAAAAAAGAGGAAAAGAAAAATACACAAAAAGATTTCCAGTCTTCTCACTCTGGCTTCTAGAAAAAAAGATCCAGCCCAGGCATGGAGTGGGAGGGGGCTCCTGAAGCACCAAGTCGTGTTTAACTCAACCCCCTGCTGTTTTCCTGCCTGCCTCTGATTTATTTGGTTGGTTTGGGTTTTATATTTTTTTTTCTTTTCTTTCTTTTTTTTTTTTTTTACATGTAGTTTTCTATATAACATCTTTAATTAGTGGCTTCCTGTGCTAAGAATGGTCCAGATGTGAATTGCTGCTCCCTGCTCCCTCCCTTCCTCCCTCCCTCCCTCCCTCCTTCACGCCTGTTTTTATAGGATTGGTGTGTCCAAGCTCACAGGGAAGGAAGAGCCGCAGTTGGGGCCTGACCCTGCCCAGAGCAGGGAGAAGCTGCCCCCCATGTCACTGCCCCTGACATTCAGCTAAGCTTTCACTCAAAGCCATCCAACCTCAGCAGGCCACCTTGGGCCCTGCCACCCGAATAGGTTTGACCCCAGCCCCCCACTCCCTCTCAGCCCTGAGCCACGTGGGGAGCTGCTGACTGGCTACTTGACACCCTCCTGCTAGAGCTGATGTCTGTGACTCCAGGGAGGTTAGCACTCGGTCTAGTGGAATTGCTTTCATCTCTGTCCTGTAGCCCCACGCCACCACCCCCACCTGGCCCAGACTCTCATCATGGCCCCAGAGACCCAGCCATTGACATGTGGCCTCTCCTGCAGCCCCTTCTTCCCTGGGCCTGAGGTTGTGGGTAAGGAGGTGGGGCAGGTGTGGGTGCGTGTGTGTGCGCGTGCGTGTGCGTGGTTTGCTGTCCTGTTTTAAAGGATTCCAAGCCATGTAAACCCTCCCCACCCCCCAACATGATTCCAGGTTGCAGCAAGTGCTTATTTTATGTAGGAGGTTGGGGAATGGGCCCGGGAGGGTCGTCAGTCCTTTTGTAGGGTGGGTCATGTGTTGGGGTGAGACTGCGGCTGAGCCTAAGACACTCCCAGGGGAAAATACTGCAGAAGGAACTGGTTTCCAGACTGTGGAGGGATCTGCACTTTTGTTTTTGACCAAAAAGGGGGGGGGGTAGCTGTGAGGGGCTAAGGGAATACCAGCCTACCGGCCCCCTGATGCCTAAGAGAAGTCCCTGGACTCAGATCCTCCTGTTTCATTGTGACCTTAACCCAGGGTGAGGAGCCGCTCACCTGAGCACCCTGGGAGGTGGGAGTTTGGAGTCAGTGCCTAGAGTGCCCAGTCCTGAGCCTTGAATTGAGACTTATCAGTCTTTGGTTGTAGATGTTCTTTTAGTCTGTTTCTGCCCCTGACTGCTTGAGAACTTCTTGGGTACCCCTTGCTGTCCCCTCTCACTGTGCGACCCAATCTCACTGGGCCTTGATGCTGTGAGGGGTGGTCTCAGGCAGGTGGCAGGGCTGGACAGGCAGGTGGCCATGGCAGGTGGCGCGTGTGGACTACAGGAGAGCCCCGGCCCCTGTCTCTGCCGGAAGAGAAGTTGTCTCTCCCACCTGACCCTAGTGAGCCAGCTTCCATGCCATGATGCTTTGGCTGGTGGGCCACATGGCATCAGGGCCCCCAATACCGGAAAGTACCAAAGCCCTTGGCACCCCCACCCCACCCTCCTGTGACCCCAAGTGGGGCAACCACCGTGGCAGTGGGTCCGGCCCAGACAGACACTGCCAGCCTCCTCCCTGCAATGGGCACCAGCTCTACCTCCCCCAACGGGGCAATGCCCTGGCTCCTCAGCCCAGGATCATCTGTCCCCTAGATTTCTCAGGGGCCAGCCCAGTCTGGGCCCTACCCTCTCCGAGCCCTCCACTCCCGCACAGTGACAGGCCCAGGCAGATGGCTGCTCTCTGGGAAAGGTTGGATGCTGCCTTATTTATGTCCTCTCCCGGCCCCTTTCCCCTGCACTCACATACACAGGTACACACACACACACACACACACACACACACACACACACACCCCCGTCGGCTTGTTCTCACCACATCTAGGGAGAATACACAGGTACACACACACACACACACACACACACACACACCCATCGGCTTGTTCTCACCACATCTAGGGAGAGGGGAGACCAACCCCTTAGTGTCTTTTGAAATACGAAGAAAAAATGTATGTTCAGGAGCATGACTCCAGGGCTGGGCTCTTGGGCCCAGTTCATTCTGTCTCGTCTCAAATCTAGGCATTTTTGCTTCAATTTTATTTTTTTTAAGGAAACAAAAACAAAAACCTGCACTAATTTACCTGGTTTCGTAGGAAAACTTTTTTTTTTATTTTTTACATTTTTTGGTGTCCGTTTGTATTGAATAATTTGCTACATTTGTAAAATGTAAGAGGTATATATAATATATGTATATTTCTAACGTAAAAAACGTAATTTTTTTCTTTTCAAGATTTTTTCTTAAAAAGAGGAGAGAAACAGATATTTTTTCAGGAAAAACAAACTTTAAAATAAAAAAAGGAGAATTAAACCTATTTCTCCCCTTTCCCCATCCTCTCTGTCTGCCCCTCTTTCCCAGGAACAAATCAAAAAAGGTGGATCATCTTGTAAAGAATGTAAACTTTTAGTCCAGAATGATGTATTTTTCTCAATGCAGTGAGCTATAGATTCTCTAGTTGACCCCTCGGGATGGGAAGGAGGGCATTGAGGCAATGTGGAGAGGAGCTTGGGGGAGCAGGGTAATGAACTTGTTTTCTTTAGTGAAGGAGGAATACAATCGAGCGTTTTGTATTCAGAATGTTGTGCAATATTTTGGAATGGGACATTGGTGTGTTTAGAGATTTAGTTTAAAAACAAAACAAAAAGATTGATCAAATCTGTACAGTTTATATTGTTCCAGATTTTTTTAAGTTTGTATTAAAAGCATGATATATAATAGCCTGCTGCTTGCTCCTGGCTTGTTTCATTTGGGGGGCCCCTTTTACGATGGAGAGAAAGGGAGGAACCCAGCCCCTGTTGGTCCTCCTCACCTGACTCCTCGGGGTGCCTGAGGTTCACCATCTACCACATCAACACAAGACAGAGTTCCCACTTCCAGGGGTTCTTTTCCACACCGGAAGCAGGCTCCCCAAGGCTGGGAACTGCCCAAGCTCCCTCTGCTGATGGGTCATGGAGCCAGTACTGGAAGCAGAGCCTTGAGAACAGGATAACTTAGTGGCTTCTTCTGGAATGACCTACTCCTGGAAGGCCGAGGGAGGGACCTCCTGCTTGGTCTCGATGACGGAGATTTGCCTACCTCACACGGCTTCGCTCAAGTGGGCAAGGATGAGAGGAGCCCATCCAAGGCAGGTTCCGTCAAAGACCTGGCGCTTGGACTCGCCCTTCTCCAGGCCCCAGGCCAGGCCATTCCAGAGCTGCCTGAGCCTGGGGGTGGGAAGAGCTGAGCAGGCGGTGCTGCCCACTGCAAGGTCAGCTCCTGGCATACCTTCAGCCCGACGGGGACCCTCAGCCCCGCAGGCCCCCACAGCCAGGAAGTCAGTGAAGCTAATTGCCCTCACAGCAACGTGGTGGTACAGGTGTTGTCTCCACCGTACAGCTGCGAACGGGGCTCCCAGGTGGATTCCCTGCTGGGTCCACAGAACTGGTAACAGGAAGCTGAGGTTTTGTGTGTGACGTTTCCATGTCTAGAGTGGTGGTAACCTGTAGAAGAGTGATGCCCTCCAAGGGGAGTGGGAGGGCTGACCTTGCCACCTCCAGGCTGGGACGGGGTGGGGGTGGGGGGCAGGAGGCTCTTCTGGGGCCTCAGTGGGATGGAGTCTACTCAGGCCCCTCACTTCCCAAACAGGCCAACGCTGATCCCTCCCCATCCGAGCATGAACTAGGCCTAGAAGCTCTCAGGCCAGACCTCCACCCTCTGCACAGGGTACCAGGAGCTCCCGACGGCTGGCCCCTCCGTGGGCCACTTCCCCACCAAGGCTCAGGCCTCTGCCTGACCAACATAAGGCCACTGCCAGGGCTCTCACTTTCCTCTGTCCTGCCAGGGAGGAGCCCAGCCTGTCCCTGTGACCCTGTGTGCAGGCTGCCCACCTACCTGTGGGACCCAGGGCCCCTAGCACACCCAACTCCTACTTGTGCTAACAAATACCTAGCACAGGTCCTGCCACAACAGATGCCCGGAGTCACCCACTGACACTCCCTGCACATGTGCCCGAGAGCTGGCAGGGCCTGGGGGAGCCCCAGCTCAGCGCCGAGACCACCTTCCCAGTCAGCCCTTCTGGCTGAAAGGCTTGGAACAAACCCCAAAGTCTCCACAGCACAGGCACAGAAATGATTTGTTCATACGTTAATGTTTTCCTTTATTCACTAAACGCTCACTGGCTCTGAAGTGGTGTAGTGGGAGTTCGGGGGTAAAGAACTGCCTGGGTCCCCGGCCTTATCCCAGAGGAAGAAAGAGCATTCTGGTAGACTCAGAAAGCTCCCCAGGGGGAAAAGTCTCATTTATTCACTTGACAAACCCCTGAACACCCTCAGTCTGCCGTGGGAGTGCAGGTGAGGGAGCCGTCACCGGACAGGTGTGCACAGGGGGCCTGAGAGCCCAGGGAGCAGGAGGCACAGAAACCACACGTTCGCCAGGAAGGAGAGATTCAAGGCCAGGCCTCTCCCTGGGGAATCATGAGAGAAGAGACTGCTCTAGCCCCTCAGAATCCCTGGGTTCCAGGCCCACCCCTGCTGCTCCCCTGGGGGACCGCAGGCAAACCACTTCACCTCATTTCCCTCACTTCTAAAATGGGGATAATAGGGCTGCCTGGGCGGCTCAGTCAGTTATGCATCCTACTCTTGGTTTCGGCTCAGGTCATGATCTCAGGGTCGGGAGATGGAGCCCCGCGTCAGGCTCCCTGCACAGGGCAGGGTCTGCTGCTCCCTCCCCCTGTGCCCCCACCTGTGCTTGCTATCTCTCGCTCTTTCAAATAAATAAACAAAATCTTTTAAAATAAATAAAATGCGGATAATAATTATGCTCGTTGTGAAAATGAAATGAAATAACAAGTGAAAAATGCCTCGCACTGCAGCCAGCCCAGAGTAAACAAGTGTCTCACTTTCTTTGCCAGGGCCATTACCGTCCGATCTCAACCACCACAGGCCAGCCCGTCCCAGAGGCTCCCTTGCATCATCAGCAAACAGGCTGAAACCCAAGCCCTCCAGCAGCAGGACCAGGCTGGGGCACAAAAGGAAACTCCATCCTTGGAGCAGAGACGAGGCCGGCCCCTGCCCTGCCCTCTGCCAGGGTGGGAGGCCGCTCGTCCCCAACAATGCCCTCCACCCCATACTATAAAGTATGCTAACTGCCACTTGTCCTCTCCAGAGGCCCAGCCTTCAGTCTTGACCTGCATCCTGAAACCTCCTGGGAGTTTCTCTCTGGAGAACAGATGGGCGGGTGGGTGTGAGTCATGGCAGCAGGAGGGCCCTGCTCCCTTGGTCACTGTCTGCCTGAGTCAAGGCCCACCCATAGGCCAAGGGATGCCTCTGTCTGATCCTCCCCGCTGCCGCCTCCCGCTGAGTGAGTCAGGGCGGAGGAGCACACTCTCACCCTCCTCCCTCCTTCCCTTGGGCCTGGCCAGTTGGGCCAAGTCATGCCTGGGCAGGGCCTAAGGACAGGCTGGAACCAGCCAAGAAGTCTCCAAGCCCCTGGGCAATAGGAACCTACTGATCCCTGGTTTTTAGTTTGGGGGATTTCACTGCCAGCAAGAGAAGTGGGCTCTTGGTCCTCACAGCTGCTAACTTTCTGTGTAACCTTGAAAACTTCTCTTCTCTCTTGACACCTGTCCCACTTGTACCACAAGGCATAGCAGGGCTGGGCCCCTGGCCAGCTAGACCAATCCCTGGGCCAATACCTCTTCCTGTCTCGGTGACTCCCAAGACCTGATGAGGGTCCTGAGCTGTAGCACCTTTCCCAGGGAGGGGAGGGAAGAGTGATGGGCCAAGTCCTGGGCAGGACCACATGAGTCCTGGCAGAGACCTCCTCACCCCCTGCCCAAGACATGAGGCCCTGATCAGAAGACTGCTGGGCTGCGGCAGGGCTGAGTGAGGAGGACTGTGGAGAAGAAGAGGCCTGGCCCACCCACTGGGACAGCTGGGTCCTCTGGCTAGCTGTGCCTTGTCTGGCTCTACTCAACACTTTTTTAAAATTTTTTTTTATTTTTATAAATTTATTTTTTATTGGTGTTCAACTTGCCAACATATAGAATAACATCCAGTGCTCATCCTGTCAAGTGCCCACCTCAGTGCCCGTCACCCAGTCACCCCCATCCCCTGCCCACTCTACTCAACACTTAACGGACATCATACAGCACGGAGTCCCCCATAAATGCTGGACACTGTTCCAGGCATGTGGGAAATAAGGGTGAACAACAGGAAAAAAATCCCTGCTCCCCTAAAGACTATGTGCTATTAACCACGAATAAATGAGAAAATGTCAGACAGTGAGGATGGGCCATGAAGATGGGCCGTGAAGACAGTCACAACCAGAGATGGTAGCTAGTGACCAAGTGGCTCCTTTAGATTGGTCAGGGGAAGAAGGGGCCTTCCCAAGGAGGCGGCTCTCCATCGATGACCTGAATTACAGGAGAAGTTAGCAGAGCGAGCAGCTTGCTGCAAGGGCAAGACGGGAACAAACATGGTCTGCTTAGAAAAAGAGAAGGCCACCAGGAAACAAGAGCAAAAAGCCCCAGATGGGCTCAAAGACAGCCTCGGGGCCACATCATGGGATTTTATCTTAGTTGTGAGGCTTAAGTCTCTCACCCCCAGGCTGCCCCATGTCTGGCTGGCAGAGACAGTTCCCTCACACAATCAACGAATCTTCCCAGAACCCCTCCTTTGAGCCCGGCCCTGAGCTGGACACAGCGGCCCAGAGGGTGGGCCAGAGGAAGCGAAGGATACCTCTGATGATGGAAACTAGACCCAGGTCACTATGACTTCAACACCTTGATCGGGTCCATGACAGAAAAAAGTGCAGGGAGACATGAGTGCCCAGAGGAGGCTCCCACCCAGCCCAGGAGGGCTCTGCAGAGGGCTGACTGAGCTCGTGAGCCAGTTCAGGCACAGAACACAGGCCGAGCATTCCAGCATGGGCTGGTAAGATGACACCCGGACTGAGCCTTGGGGGGCTCCAGGCAGTCAGCAGGGAGGCCAGCAGAGGAATGAGACTCAGGAGTGGAGGGGTGAGGGGTGCAGCCATGGGCACAGCCAGTGCAGACGGTGCCCTTCAAGGAGCCACAGAGATATCCCAAAGGCAGAAATATAAAACTAAAACTAACAACTTCTAAAAGAAAACAGAAGAGAAAATCATTGTGATCTTGAGTTAGGCAAAGAGTTCTTAGATCTGACTCCCAAAAAATAATACATAAAAGAAAAAACTGATAATGTGAACTTTATTAAAAAAAAAAAAAAAAAAAGGCAGCCTGGGTGGCTCAGCAGTTTAGCACCGCCTTCAGCTCAGGGCGTGATCCTGGAGACCTGGGATTGAGTCCCATGTCGGGCTCCCTGCATGGAGCCTGTTTCTCCCTCTGCCTGTGTCTCTGCCTCTCTCTCTGTGTCTCTCATGAATAAATAAATAAATCCTTAAAATAAAAGAAAATAATAAAATATTTTTTTTAAAAGTACCCTTAGACACTGGTAAGAAGAGAATAAAAAGACAAGCCACTGGGAGAAACTGGGAGAAAATATTTGCAAATTATATGCCTCTGATAAAAGCGTTTTTTTTTTAATTTTTATTTATTTATGATAGTCACAGAGAGAGAGAGGCAGAGACACATGCAGAGGGAGAAGCAGGCTCCATGCACCTGGAGCCCGATGTGGGACTCGATCCCGGGTCTCCAGAATCGCGCCCTGGGCCAAAGGCAGGCGCTAAACCGCTGCGCCACCCGGGGTTCCCCGATAAAAGCGTTTTATACAGAACCTATAAAGAACTTTCAAAACTCAATTATATCATTTTGCAATATACACAAATATCAAATCATTATGTCATGCACTTGAAACTAATGTTATAGGTCAATTACATCAAGAAAACAAAACAAAGCACCCCTCAATTATAAGAGAACAAACAACACAATACAAAACTGGGCAAAAGATCTGAACAGACACTTCACAAAGAAGATACATGAATGGGAGTGCCTGGGTGGTTCAGTCAATTGGGGTGACCGACTCGATTTCAGGTAGGGCTGTGATCTGAGGGTTATGGGATCAAGCCCCATGTCAGGCTCCATGCTTGGCTTGGCATCTGCTTAAGATTCTCTCTGTCCTTCCCCCACTCTCCTTCTTTCTATAAATAAATAAACAAACAAACAAACAAATAAATAAATAAATAAGGCAGCCCTGGTGGCTCAGCGGTTTAGCGCCGCCTGCAGCCCAGGGTGTGATCCTGGAGACCCTGGATAGAGTCCCATGTCGGGCTCCCTGCATGAAGCCTGCTTCTCCCTCTGCCTGTGTCTCTGCCTCTCTCTCTCTCCCCTCTGTGCATTCTCATGAATAAATAAATAAAATCTTTTAAAAAATTAATTAAATAAATAAATTAATTAATTAATTAAATTAAATCTTAAAAAACAGATATGGAAATGGTAAATGAGCGCATGAAAAACTGTTCATCATCAGTCATTAGAAAAATGCAAATTGGGACACCTGGGTGGCTCAGTGGTTGAGCGTCTGCCTTTGGCTCAGGGCGTGATCCCAGAGTTCTGAGATCAAGTCCCTCATCGGGCTCCCTGCAAGGAGTCTTCTTCTCCCTCTGCCTGTGTCTCTGCTTCTCGGTCTCTGTGTCTCTTATGAATAAATAAAGTCTTTTAAAAAAAGAAAAAAGAAAGAAAAATGCAAACTAACACCACAATAAACACACCTATTAAAGCAGCTAAAATTTAAAAGATTGACAATACCAAGTGTTAACAAAGATGAGGAGGAATTAATAACTTTCATACACTGCTGGTGGGAATGCAAAATGTTACAACCATTTTGTAGAATAATTTGGAAGAGTCTTTAGAAGTTAAACACATAACCTACAATGGGATCCAGCCATTCTGTTCCTAATTATTTGCTCATAAGAAAAGGAAATCAGGGCACCTGGATGGCTCAGTTGGTTAAGGGTCTGCCTTTAGCTCAGGTCATGATCCTGGGATCCTGAGATCAAGCCCTGTGTTGGGCTCCCTGCTCAGCAGGGAGTCTACTTCTCCTTCTCCCTCTGCTCCTCCCCTCCACTTGTGCTTTCTCTCTCTGAAATAAACAAAATCTTTAAGAGGAAGGAAGGAAGGAAGGAAGGAAGGAAGGAAGGAAGGAAGGAAGGAAGAAAGAAAGAAAGAAAGAAAGAAAGAAAGAAAGAAAGAAAGAAAGAAAGAAAGAAAGAAAAAGAAAATGAGGGGATCCCTGGGTGGCGCAGCGGTTTGGCGCCTGCCTTTGGCCCAGGGCGCGATCCTGGAGACCCGGGATCGAATCCCACGTCGGGCTCCCGGTGCATGGAGCCTGCTTCTCCCTCTGCCTGTGTCTCTGCCTCTCTCTCTCTCTGTGACTATCATAAAAAAATAAAAATAAGATAAAAAAAAAATAAAAAAAAAAAAGAAAAAGAAAATGAATGTCCATACCAAGACTTGTACACAATGCTCACAGCAGCTTTATGTGTTAGCCCCAGATGGGAAACAACACAAAAGTCCTTTAAGGGGTGAACAGTTGAACAAGTTCCAATATATCATACTATGGAATACTCCACAACAATAAAAAGAAATGAGCTTCTGACACATGCAACAAACACGAATGAACCTCAAAATATTAAAATGAGTGAAAGTCTGACAAAAAAAATATATATGCTTTGAATCCATTTACAGATGATTCTAGAAAATGCTAACTAATCACGCAGTGACAAAAAGCAGATTAGTAGCTGCCTGGGACAGGAGAGGAGGAGGGAAAGAGACAGGAGAAAGGGATTAAAAATGGGAACAAGGAAACTTGGGAGTGATGGGAAAATTCAGTATTTTTTTTGCCCTACTATGTGCAAAGCCCTGTGTTCTCGGTACTGGAAATGGAACAAGGGCAACACGGTCCCTGCCCTCCCAGGACCCCAGTCCTCGGAGGCAAGGGCGGTAATAAACCTGATACATAAATGAAAGCCATGCACAGAAATAACTTCAGGGAAACAATACGGCGACCAGGCAGGAACATGAGGTGGGGGGAGTGAGGGAAGCGGGCCAGGGGGGTCCCCATGTCTCATGTGTAGCCTCAGCTAGGTGGTGTGGCCATGCCAGAATCTGGGGCCCTCTCTACAGCTCCCTGGGCCATATGGTGTGGAACAGGGTTGAGCCCGGCTCACGAGGGCACGGAGCCCCCCCACGGCCAGCTCTCTGCCCAAGGGGGCCTCTCGCCTTGGCTCAGCTGCATTTGGGGACAGGCAGGGTAGATACGCCCGGGGCAGGAAAACAGGTTTCTCAGGAGCCCAGCTGGCTTCTCCTCACAGGCACCCTAGGGAGCCCACCCTGTCCGGAATCAGGGTTGCCTTCTGGGGAGAGGGCAGGGGTTGCAGGAGGGGCACTCTCATGAGCAGGGCTCGCAGGGAGGCAGGAGGGGGTGAGGCCTGCTCCTGGCCTCTGGGAGGACAGCTCCGGCCTCCTGCTTGTGACAGAGGGGATGGGACAGGCCAGGCTGGCCTGACGCCCAGAGGGGCAGGGCTGGAGGTCATCGGCCACCGGTAGGGGGGCCTGCTTGGCCCGTTCTCTGGACACAATGTCCTGGACTGCTTCACAGCTTGGCTGGCCGACAGGGAACAGTAGCTGGCAGAGGGTACGGGCAGCAGGCCGACTGGGGGCGGGGAGCAGCCTGGCCTGAGCAAAGGGCTTGTTCGCACAACCTGACCTGCCACCTTGGGCAAAGAGAGAAGCAGCTTGTCTGGGAGGGAGACAAGGGAACCTGGCGCCCTGTGAGGGCCTCAGCGATCCCTTCCCTAACGTCTGCCTTAGTTTCCCCATATGGCTCCCAGCTGCCCTCCCTTGAGCAAAGCTCTACAAGAGTAAGTGTCCTGCAAGTGCTGGCCCTGCGCCATACCACCATGACCTTAGACACCTCACAACCTCTCTGAAACTCTGATCTTCACCTGAAATATGGCACCTACTTCTCTGGGCTTGAAGGCACCAGGGGCATTTAAGATAGTTAACCCTCACGGAGGAGGCGCCTGACGGAGTAGTGGGCTCTAATGGCCACATTAATAAGGCAACAGTAACGTCTATGTATTGAGGGCCTCCTGTGTGCCAGGAACTTTGCCTACATTTCCCTGAATCCCGGCAGCAACCTGAAGGCAGGTTTTATCTTCCTCATTTTCTAAGCGAGAACACTGAGCTTCAGCAAAGTGGCACAGCTGATATTAGGGGCAGGTGGCTCCCCACCCCTATAGGAAAAAGCGCAAGAGCCCGATGGGCAGACCCCAGGGGATTCCCTCAGGTGGAGTTGAGCCAGGGAGGGCCTGAGGGAGGAGTCCTAGATACCCAGCAGCTGAACCCAGAGACCATGCTCACTTGCCACAGGACATTTCTGGCAGAGTCCAAACTGTATCCAGACATATAAGCCAAGGTGAGGGACAGTTGTAGGGAGCGATGTATTCATTCATTTAGCAAATATTAATAGAGGGAAATACAGCCTGGAGAGGGGCTGCCAGACTTTGGACTCAGATACTGTACCTTGTGAGGTGTGTGTCCTGGAGGTAGCGTGACTCCCAGTTTTCCCAATGAGGGTACTGTGTCCCAGGAAACCCCTCAGTCCAAGGCAAACCAGGATGGTTGGTCGCCCTAGCTGGAGGAGTTACTCCACCTCTTGGTTTCCTCAGTCGTAACAGGACACCAATTCTCACCTGTTGGAGGGTGAAATGAACAGAAAGTCCTGGACTCAGTCTAGGTCCAATAACTGGGAGCAGGGATAAGAGCCTTTCCTCTTATCCTGGAGGAGGCTGGGGAGGAGGGGAAGGGGGGGGTGTTGATCTTCCCAGTTTTGTAGATGAAGGGACTGAGGCTCCCATCGAGTCTGAGCAGCACACAGAAGGCTTGGGCAGATACTTCTCTTATCCCCAAATCTGCTTTTTTTTTTCTTTTAAAGGTTTTATTTATTTATTTATTAGAGAGAGACAGAGACAGAGACAGAGACACAGGCAGTGGGAGAAGCAGGCTCCATGCAGGGAGCCCAATGTGGAACTGGATCCCGGGTCTCCAGAATCAGGCCCTGGGCTGAAGGCGGCGCTAAACCACTGAGCCACCCGGGGTACCCCCAAATCTGCTCTTAGAAGGTACCAGGCCCTCCAGGACCAGCCCTGTCCACAGCTGCCGGCCAGGCCACAAGGCAGGCCTGGGCCATGTGCTCCCTGCGCAGAGGCCAAGGTCCACAGGGACCCAAGGCTAGGCTCGGGTCCTGCACGGTGCCAGATCCTGGGAGGGCATTAGGGGAGAATTAGAACAGGTCACAGTTACCTAAGTCCTCAGCAGGTGCTGACACGCCCCGCTTCTTCCCTGCAACACGAGAAGGGCCCACCAGCAGTCCGAGTTTACAGGTGGGGATACTGAGGCTCTGAGAGGCAAAGTCTGGCCAAGGTCACCAAGGGGCAGGGGGAGGAACCAGTCACCAGCGGGGGTCACTGCCTGACTTTAGAATTCAAGACAGACTGTGGCCCAGGCACGGGCAGGGAGAGGGGCGGGAGCTCTGGAAGGGTCCGGGCGCGGGGGACCCCGGGGCCCCTCCGGTCCTGGTCAGCGAGGGGCCCTTCGCGCGGAGGAGCAGGCCGTGACCCGCGGCCCCGCGGCCGTTCTGGGGCTCCCATCACAGTCTGGGCTCCCCGGTCGCGGGGCCCCGTCAGGGAGCCGCCTCAGTTTCCCCTGGGCGTTCAGCAGCAGCGCAGTGTGCTGAGCCACGCAGGACCGCGCCCAGGGAGGGACCGGGGCCTCTCCTTTCCGGCCCCGGAGCCCCAGCGGCGGCGGGGGCGGGGGAGCGGGGGGCGGGGGGCGGGGGTTACGTAACGGGGGCGGGGCGGCGCGGGCAGCCAATGGGGCGGCCCTCCTAGCAAGGCCCGGCGGCGCCGCCCTCCCGCAGCCGCGCGGCCCACCCCCCACCCCCCACCCCCGCGCCCGCCAAGCCGCGGGGCCGGGGCGGGGGGCGCGGGCGCGGACGCGAGCGGACGGGGCGGGCTCCGAGCCGGGCTCCGGGCCCGCGCACCCCCTGCGCCCCCGCGGGCTGCGCGACGGCACCCTCCGGGCCGGGGCCCCGCCCCCTCCTGCGCCAAGGTCACCCGGGCCCGCGCCGCCCCTTCCCCGCCGCGCGCGTCGGCCTCCCCCGCTCCCCGGCGGCTCCCGCCTCCCTCCGCTCGCACTTACTTCATCCGGCCTGGCCTCGCTGTTATTTATATCCGCGTCTGGCTCCCCAGCAGACGGCTCTGACGGGAGGCGGCGGCGGGGCCGGCCTGGGGGCCCGCAGCACACGGTGTGTGGCAGGTGCCGGCCGCCGGGGGCCCCGGGGGGCCAGGGGGCTGAGGGAGCCCCTCGCCGAAGCCCCTGGCTTAGGGCCTGCTCGCCTCTCCCCCGGGAAGTGGAGGAAAGGCCGCAGGCAGCCACCACCCGAGGTCGCCCCCATTCCCTGCTCCGTGGCCCTGGCTCTGCCGCTTTGCCCCGGGTCAGGGATCATCTTGGGCTTCCGTGCTGCGCTCAGGAGGCCCCCAAAGGTGGATCGGGACCACCGGGCGGCTGCTTAACAGTGCTGATTCTGGGTTTCCACGCCAGGCCCCTCCGCGTGGGCCTTCTGGGGGTGAGGCCTGGGACTCAGCATTTGAAACAAGCTCCCTAGGGGAACTTGGGCTTTCTGAGGTTTGGGAGCTGTCTTGGGGTTGCTTTGGGGGGAGGGAGCAAGCAAGTGGCAGGAGGGTGGCAGGTTGGGACTGTCCCTACTTTGATTTGATGGACAGGGTTAAAAGACAGGGCAGAGGAGTGAGGGGCCTGCCGTGGGGCGGGAGGAGGTTAGATTGGGGTTTGTGGCCAGGGACTGCCTGAATTGTGGAGGTGGAGCAACACCCTTCACACAGGTAAAGCCCTTCAGTGCCTACTAAGGGGCCCAGTAGATCCCACCATTCTCCAGCAACCTTGCGAAGTGGGCCTTGTCCATCTTACAAAGCTCAGAGACGGGATGTGACCTGGACAAGGTACCTGGTGAGAAACAAGCAGGCTCAGGACCCAACTGGATTCCTTCATCCAAGCACTAGCTAGACACTGGCACAGAAAAGGGAATACAATACAGTTCCTGCCCTACAAGCATAGTGGGTCAGGAAGAAAGGTGGGCAGCACACACAGCAATCAATCCTGATCAGGTTGTGGTCTGATGAGCATTGACAGCTCAGAGCTGAACTGTGAAGGATGAACAGGAGTTCCCTAGGAAGACACAGGAGGGGGCATTCCAGGCAGCAGGAACAGTTTGTTCAACTGCTCAGACGCCTGAAATAGCAATCGCTGTAGGGATCTAGAAGCAGTTTGAGGCTGAGGCTTAGAGCCTGTCAAGTACGTGATGAGAGATGAGGCTGGATGTGCAGGGAAAGCCTTGACCAGGCAAGGCCTGACTTTGTCCCCAGTGCAAGGGGGTGGGAAGCCCAAAGAGGAGGGGTGAGGAGGGAGAGGGGGGAGGGGGAGGCCCAAAGAATGGGGTGCCCCAGCAGCAGAGGCGGCAGGGTCTCCTTTCCAGCCCTTCCCTGTCTCCTCCTCCTCACGACCTCACTTTCCCCCAGCCCCTACAGCCACCCTCCCTCCACCTCTCTATTAGCTCAAGATGGGGACTGCCTGGGGATACTGGACCCCATCCAGATGGGCATGATAGGTTGTCTATGAGGACTGGAGTAGGTGATTCTGTCTCCCTGGATCTCAGTTTCCTCATCTATAAAATGGGGACAGCTCAGGGATCCCTGGGTGGCGCAGCGGTTTGGCGCCTGCCTTTGGCCCAGGGTGCGATCCTGGAGACCCGGGATCGAATCCCATATTGGGCTCCCGGTGCATGGAGCCTGCTTCTCCCTCTGCCTGTGTCTCTGCCTCTCTCTCTCTCTCTCTGTGACTATCATAAATAAATAAATTAAAAAAAAAGATTAAAAAAAATGGGGACAGCTCTAATCTGTTCCTCCTAAGGGTCAGAGTGAGATGCAGAGGCAGGGGATGGTCAGGAGGAGCTGGTTTGTTCTGAACAATGTCCAGCACAGCGCTAGGCATTTGCTCATTTGGTGCCTCCCCCTGACCTCCATCCAAGAGAGACCTCTCCCCAAATGGTCCCCTGTCCCATGCACACCAGGCTTCAGGAACCACTACTTGAGAGCAAGCACTGCTGGCTTCAAGTTCCAGACCTGCCAAATCTCTCAAAGTTGGGGCCTCTGTTTTCTCAGATGCAAAATGGAATGTTCTCAAGTGCAGATCCCCAGCAGCCCCTCTTGTCCAGGACAAGCCAGGCGTGCTCTCCCCAAACACAGCAGAAAGGGCAAATCAGGACCCCCTCTGCCCCCCCCTTGCCACCCCCAGGCCCTGCCAAGGACATCCTGTGCCCTGGTGATGTCACAGGGCCCTGGAAGCTGGGGCTGGCTGGAGCTAACAGCACTCTGACGGGATTTATTTTTAAACTCTCAGGGCATGGTCAGCTCCCTGGCCCCTCCCCATCCCACCTCACCTCATCCCTGCTGTCTCCCACCTGCCAGCTGAGCTCCCAGGCCAGTCTTTGAAGGTTTTCTCTGCACACGGTCTGTTTCTGCACCCACCAGGCTGCTGAGGGGCAGTGGGGAGCCAGGTCATTGGCCCAGTGTCTCTGATCACCAAATCCAGACCTACTGAGGGAAACAGATGGGCCCCCGGAGGTGGACCCCAGCCTCCTGTGCCTCCTAAAGCCCAAAGAGGGCAAGGGATTTGCCCAGGGCCCCACAGCCAGGGCCAGGGATTATCAGATGGGCTCTGTAGACACCTAGAACCCCTGGCTGGGCTGTACAGCTATCACCAGAGCTTAAATTCTTTCTTTTTCTTTTTCTTTTTCTTTTTCTTTTTTTTCTTTTTTTTGCTGGCAGGCCTCAAGGCTTTCTTGGTGCTGTATAGCTCAAACAAGCTGCAGGAATAGACTGGGTGCTGGGGTAGCCCTTGACACCATAGCCCTTACCAACACCCCAAGCAGGGTGTGTGTCCATCACAAGTGTCACACACTTACCCTCTCAAGTGACTAGACTAAAGACCTGTCAGCACCTTTAGCTTAGAAATTTATCCTGATGAAACACCCCTTTTATCAGTTCCATATGTTGGCCTTCTGGGTGAGATTGTGGTTGAAAATGAGGTTCTACTGGAAAAATCCATTTGACAATGGCAGCCTTGACTCCTCTATCCTCACAGCTGCCCTGGGAGGCGGGGCAAGGCCAGAGGCTTCCTTCAGCAAATGAGGCTCAAAGGAGAAGAGTGATTTGCACAGTAACTGGAATCCAAGGTTCTTCTGTCCTCCAGTCCTCATGAGATGAGGTGGACCTACCTTGCCTAGCCCAGCCCAGCCTGGGGTCGGTGGTCTCAGATACCTCTGCAGCTCATAGCAAGTAGGGGGGATGGGACCTTAGAATATCTATGTCCTGGGGCACCCGGGTGGCTCAGTGGTTGAGCGTCTGCCTTTGGCTCAGGTCCTGATCCTGGGGTCCTGGAATCGAGTCCTGCATCAGGATCCCTGCAGGGAGCCTGCTTCTCCCTCTGCCTCTGTCTCTGCCTCTCTCTCTCTGTCTCATGAATAAATAAAATCTTAAAAATAAAGAATATCCATGTCTTGACTCTTCACTATAGTGCAACACAGACTCTAGACCCAGATAGACTTGGTTTAAAACCAAGCACCTGCCTTTGGCCCAGGGCGCGATCCTGGAGACCCAGGATCGAATCCCATGTCGGGCTCCCGGTGGATGGAGCCTGCTTCTCCCTCTGCCTGTGTCTCTGCCTCTCTCTCTCTCTCTCTGTGACTATCATAAATAAATTAAGAAAAATTAAAAAAAATAAAACCTGCCTATGGCATGTCTTAGCTGTATGATCTTGGGAAAGTGACTTCACCTCTCTGTGCCTTAGTTTCCTCCCCTGAAAAATGGGGATAATAATAGGATGCAATTCTCGTTGTGGGAAATACTGCTTTGAGAGACCACCTGAAAAGTGCTTAGTATAGGCTGGACACTTAGTGCTCAACCGATGGCAGATATTATTATTATTATTATTATTATTATTATTATTATTATTATATTATTACTATTACTATTCCTAAGCAAACAATCACTGAATTCTCACCTTGAAGCTGGACCTGGAAGGCTGGCTTCTTCGGACAGTATCTGGGGAGAGCTATGAGGAGTTGGGGGGGAGCTAGCTCAGCTGGTCTGGGAGAAAGAATAGTAGAGAAAACCTCTGGCTGAACTGGGGTGGGAACATGGGGAGAGGCCAGAACCAGCTCAGGAATCCGCAAAACCTCAGCAGCCCCTTTGTCTTCTGCCATTACTACCACCACCACCCTCATCTTCCTAGGAGGTCACTTGAGCAAAAAGAGCAAGAGCCAGGTGGCAAGGCAGATGGCTTATCACCAGGAGGGTAAGGAGTCAAGCAAGAGAGCTTGTGCACCCCCCTTCCCATACCCACACCCAAGTGTGTCTGCAGGAAGTCTGTCAGAGCTGGGTTTCATTCCCACTTACTGTGGGGTCTGAGCCAAGTCACCTCATTTCTCTGAGCCTCAATTTTCTCCTCTGTGAAATGGGCATAAAGATACCATAAAGTGAAGATGTAATGAACAGGTATGTAAAGCATCTGGCACACAGTGAGTGATTAATAATTCTATCTCTTGAGAAGGGAAAGAGCCAGGCTGACTCTTTGCATGAAGAAGTGGGGAGTGGGGAGAGGGGGCTAGGGACCAGAGCCCTCAGCCC